TCCGTCAAAAGCTCTATCGCTAAACAAAATCTCTCCGCCCTGGCTTCCATTCAACGGGACAATATTTACCGGGACTTCATCTTCGATGACACGACTCTCCTCTCAGTGAGCTCGCCTCTCAACCTCACCCGTTCGTCAACTCGTCTCAACACCTCCATCTCAGCAAACACCTCCGCAAACCGTCGAGTTTGGCTCAATCTCAAACATCTCAACATCTCTTCCGCCGATTCGTTTTCATTTCGATTTTCTTTGTGTTTCGTATCTTTTTGTAGATTCAACAACTTATTCGAAATAGAAATTGCAGAGCAACAAAAGAAGATTTACCTATCCGGTAGCTATTCGAAGTGGCGGCGTTAATCAGAAAAGACCAGCAGTATAAAAGGTATACTCTTCAATCTCTTGCCTATGCTATTTCTCTTCTTCTTCTTCTCTTTCGATACTGCATTTGGTGTTGATTGATGTGCCGCGTTTCGAAATCAATGAAGATTGTTGTTGTTGTTGTGGATTTTTGTTGAATATGATGCAGCAACTTGGAGATGCAGAAGATTGGCGCGTTGAAACGGTTGCATATATGGGATTGAGACAATGAAGATGATGATGGTTATGAGATGCAGAAGAAGCTTGTTGTAACTGATGTATGAAGTTTGAAGATTGCAGAAATTATGACGAAGATTGGATTATGGAAGTTGAAGATTGCAGAGAGGGAGCACTGAGAAATTTTTATGGAGATTTTCTTGGTGTGGATTCTTCAAAAAATGGTGAAGAATGAGATGATTGAGAGGTAATAAAATCTTTTTTTTCTGTGTTCCCTTTTCTCCTCTTCTGTCAATCTCTGGTTTATATGTACTGGCAGTTTGTTATAGGAGGTTGGTTAACAAAAATTCTGTTAGGAGGTTAAGATGCAGTTAGGTTAGTTATGGTTTAGGAAATGGAAGGTTGGTTACAGTTAGAAGTTCTGTTTGGAATTGGTTGGAGTTAGAGGAGTTAGGCTGTTAGAGGAAGTTGTGTTATGGTAGTTAAGAGATGAGCTGGAAAATCTGTTAGAGGGGATGTTATATATGCAAATGGTTCCAGTTGATTTTCCCTCTTCTCTACATTCAAGTCTGTGGAAAATTTTGTCAACTCTACCTCATTGGATCCCATTTCCATCCTATTGGAATCTGGAGAAGCTGGGAAAGATTCAAGTAAATTTGAAGGATTCATTGATGGGGAAAAATAGAATTTGAAGCTTGACAATTAACAATACTTGTATCAGTTTCAGCGTTATCAAGAGAAGGAATAGCAGATACAACCAGATCTTTGGACAGAACTTTTACAGGGAATATATCATTTACCATGATATCATCATCCTGCAGTATGTAATTAGGGGGAGGTGGATGTTTAACAAGATCATCATCTTCAACTTGATCCAAACTGTAGGTGGATTCAATTCTTTCATTTCCAGACATTATCTCTGGTACCTCTTCTAAATTTGAAAGCTGGTCAGGATAAAGAGTTTTAACTTCTATCGAATCTGGTTCATCTTGAGGATTTCCGTGTATAAATTCAGAAAATAGTTCCTCTGCAAAGCTATTCTCTATGGTAGTCTCCACAACAGGAAACAAATCTTCTGAGTCAAGTTGCATTGCTTTAACATCACTATTAGATTGTAAGTCCCAGTCGTCAAGCTGCAGTTTAGTGCCCGAATTAAGGTCTAATTCCATGGGCAGACAAATGGGATCCTCCCCTCGTGAACCAATGTCTCCAACAACTGATAGTTCAGAACAATACTCATTAAGAGATTCTTCCTACATCACTTCGATGTCAGAATGACCACCACATTCGCCTTCATGGGCTAAATTTAAATCATTGGAAACTTGTAACAAAGTATGGGAATGGACATGAGGATTGCAGACATCCAAGTTCAAAGAATTGTTGTCAAAATCAACAACTGGGAGAGTATTATCTTTTATTGGGTAGATGGTGTCTTCATCATCTTCTAATCTTAAATGTTCAACACGAACATCTGGTGTGTTATCTGATAGAGTCCTTGTGGGTAAGGACACTAGTGAGGTATCTGTAGCTCCATGATCTGAAGACAATAGTAAACATTCTGAATCCACGAGACATGAACCAGAAGAAACTGGTCCAGAATCATATATTTCTCGCCTAAGATCGTGTGCATCATCATGTGTGACAAACTCATCATAATTTTTTTGCAATTCAACAGCTTGTGAAAGCTGGTCGGAAGGCATGTTTTTAGTTTCTGGTGAGGAATTTCCAATAGATTGAAAATCTGATAACTGGGCTTGCAGTTGAGTATGTTCTTCAGTTCTACCTTTTCTGAATGAACGATTATCATCATCTGATGCACAGGGGGTTCCTGCTGACCGAGAGTCTGGCAGCTGAGCTTGCACTTCATTATTCTCTTCACTTCTATCTTATTCAAATGAACTCATTTCCTCAGATAATGACGAGTCTCCAAATGATTAAGAATCTGAAAATGGAGCTTGCAGCTGGTGTTCTTCTTCACCATTTGAATCAATTACCTTTTGAACATTCAAGAAGCTTTTCTTAGGTCCACACTCATTGTCTATTTCCAACTCAGAGTCTATGGTAGCTAATGCATCCATATAATCATCAACCTCACTGGCCGCGTCATTAGAACAGGAGCAGTCTAGGCTGCCTTCTCTTTCGTTTTGTCCATCATCATCCGCTAGTTCTGTTTCATCAGGTACCTTGAGATGCTCAGAAGACACTTCACTTATCCCACCAGGAGAGATTTGTTCGGGCTCCTTCACAAGATATCCATTTGTCTTCATCAGAAGAGATTTGTTTTGTCCATCATCATCCACTAGTTCTGTTTCATCAGGTACCTTGAGATGCTTAGAAGACACTTCACCTGTCCCACCTTCTTGGATTCTATTCCATTCAAAATTGGTATTTTGGTCGAGTTCTTTTTCAGCAGTCGTCATTTCAGTCTTTTGCAGTGATGAGAAATCAATCCCAAAAAAATGCCAGATGTTGTGCTAAAAGTGGGTCCAATACATTCTCATCCTCCGGATAAGAGAAAACATCTGCTGCTTCCAGATCAGCAGTAATAGTCCCAAGCTTTACAGCAAGTGGGTAGCTGTAGCGGTGAAAATCGGAGATCAAGCTATTAATTAACTTGACTCACAAAAGCAAGAGTCGCCACCGCGCTTTATTATTTCCAAGGGAAAAGGGAAAAGTGTGAAATAAAACCCTAAAATATGCAATGTAAAATAATACTTAAAAGTAATGAAAATACAATGCGTTTTTAAAAGAGATCGAGAGTTCGGGGGTTGGTTATACAATGGGAAGGTATTAGCACCCAATGCATCTGCGGTACTCCGCAGGAACCTTTTGAAATATCTGTATTTTGGTTAAAATTGTTTGTTTGATTAAAAATGGTTCGTTTGGCTGAAAGATGGGTATGGACGAGATTTTTGAAGATACGACGACCTAGTGTCGAAGTTTTTGACTTAAAAGGTGTGAGTTTGAAAAATGGGGTCTTTTGGGAAAAAATTAACTTAAGATTAACAAAATAGTAAAACAAAAATGAAGGAAGGTATTCGCTTAATCGTATAACATGTGTTTGATGACATGAAGTCAACAAAGTTAGAACGTTTCCCTTGGATTTAAAACCACAGACAGATAAATAAGCTAAGAGTATACCAAACCTTAGGTGAAAATAAATCACAAGCCGACAGCATCATCAAAAAAACCTAATGTGAGATAATACTCCAAGCATCAGATAAAGCGCAAAGGCGGTGGATAAAGCTCACGGCGTCAGATAAGAATCCCTGCATCACAAGATATATATCGACAAATCTAACAGCATAGGGAAACTTATGCGCGTCCGCACAATTTTCAGAAGTTAGTTGGAATTAAAAATAAAATCACAATGCGATGAAAATAATATTTTTCAAAACCTGAATTTATTTACAAGTAAAACATACAGTCAAAATATTATGTACAAGTATATATTTATAATACCAAATATTAAATCAAAATAGTAAGGTAAAAGGGGAATAAAGAAAAATTATAAATGCGTTATGCGAGAACGAACGCTTGAAACTGTTCTCGAAAACCTTCACAGTGAGCAAACTTGTTAGTAGCATAAGCGGTATACAAATTAAAATGAAACGAAATTGTAACAAAATTTGAATTTATGTTAGTAATCACAAAGTATAAAAATCAAAATGAACTTGTATGATGCATATGAACAAATAAATATTTACACAAATCAAAATCAAGAATTCATGATATTGTTCAATGTAAACACAAAAAATCAGCATTATCAAAAGTTGGACAACAACAAATTATGCACAAAAAGCTCATGAAAAATCAATTTTCAAGTGATTCAAAACTTATGTATAAACACCAATATTAACCAACCAACTTTGTAAATTGAATTCGACTTGAAACATCATCACAACCACTTTTAAAATGACTTAAACCACAAGACAACATCAACAATGACAATTCAAAATTAATCAACTCATGCCAAAATCGAAACATGAACAAATGATTTTAAAACAAACTAAACTCAATCGTACCAAATTCGAGCAGCATAACAGTAGCAACTTCTTCATCACGAGTTAACAAGAACAAACTAGAATTCTTTCAATGAAGCATCATGATATAGACATTCAAAAGAGAATTTGTTTAATGACCAAATTCAAGGCAAACGAACACGATGATAGCATGATAACTGAAGCCAAAACAGTGTTAAAGTGATACAACCATGGCAAATGCATGTTAAACATAAATTCAACACCAAAAACTTGATATGACTCAGTACAAACAAATGGATGCGGTAATTCGTCGCATACTAGGATACACTGTCAAGCATAACTTTTGGACATTTCAACGGCATATTGTTTCAAATAAAAAAGAATAAAACCATTTAATCAGGATTTTAACATAATAACAGAAATGAAACAGTACTGATATCAAAACCAAAAAAATCCAAATTCAATCAATATAGCACCAATGACTCAAATAACAATATCTTTCATCTTAACATAAATAACATCAATGCTAACTAGAGTAAAGGGGAGAGAGTAATATCGAAGCTTGCTGAAGTCGAAAGCAATTTGCGGCTGGTTGTTGGAAACAACGCGGTTGTAGAGACAGGAAACTAAAGCTCGCGGATAACCGAAGCTTGATTTGCGATGCTGTTGACAGTGGATGTGGAAAAGTGAGTAGACTGATTGCGGTTTTGAGATGAGGTTTGATGAGGGAGATGCGGTGATTGATGAAGAGGATCGAGAATTGTGGTGGTGAGTTGAATACGATAATGGTTGTGGTGAATTGAGGAAGTGGATTTCCATCTTTCTAAACCCAGGTGTGACTGTTGATTCTGGTAGCTTGTAAAGCTTGATAGTTCTACTCATTGTCATCCGTGCACCAAGCCGAGAGAAACCAACATCAATTAGCTTCTTGGGATTCAAGGATCTGTGCCAGTATTGGCAAGTTGATACTGGCGTAGGAAGAATCACTCCAGCAGTGTAAGCAGCCTGCCATATATTCTCCAAGTGCACCCTCCTGGTCACCTCTTTGATCATGACAGGAGCAAGCCTCTTTGTTCGAAGCTTCTTGTGAACACAAAGAAAATTAATTTCTGCCATACTAACAACCTCATCACGAACTCGGATTCGAGCAGGGACACCCGTTATAAAAGCAACCATCTTCTTGGAAGTTTTAACACGGACACCGATATGCCAACTCGTGAAGTAGCCAGGAGGTTGCAAAGCCCAGCGCAGAAACTCCTTCGAATAGTTAAACCTAAACATGTTCTCATCATCCTCAACATAATTATTGGCAAGAAGGGTGTAAATCTCATCACACATCTGCTCATCATGAATATCACAAGTAACCCATTCATAAAGGTTAGGAAGGTTATACGGTTCCTGTTTCACCTCAGACAAAGGGGTTGAAGGTTCAATAGGACCTTCTGGCAAAGCGGAGTTTCCTATATCCTTAAACTGCCCAACAAGTTGTGTTTCCCAAAATTTATGTCTTTGGTCAAGAGTTAGAGATTCTTGAACTTTTTGTGCTAGATTATCCAATGCAAGATCACTTTCAGCAAGCACATTCCCATCTGGAATCTGATTTTGAGTCTCTTCAGGTGACCCAGAGGAAGCATTGCTATCAACCATCTCAAATGCTTTCAGAAAGATAATAGAAGAGAAGTACGGAGAGTCTGAGTAGTAGGGAGATATGGAGGAGGAGGAGGAGGAAAGGAAAAGGATGGTAGATGAAGAAGGGTATGTTGTGCGTGACATTGAAGGGGATGATTAACAACTTGTTTTGTAGTTCCATAAGCTGAACTATCATATTGAGTTAAAGTAATATGCAAACTTTGCACTTGGGGAAGTGAAGAGGTTGAAAAAAAATTCGAAACTCAGTAGTATGCATCTAGTAATCCTCTCAAAGCTGTTGAATAGAGGATCGTTTTTGTAGGCATGGGACCAGAGAAATTGGCAAAAGTAGAGTCTAAGAAAACACAACCAAGAGAACATGCTGGCTTGGTGGGTTTGTGAGGTGATATGTGTCGATCCGTAAATTCTGCCAGCAACCAATAGGGATGAAGTGTAGTGTAACAAATATATTTTTGTGACCAAAAAGCCCCTGAATGGTAAAAATAAAACAAAACCTGAAAGTGTTCAAATTAACTTAAACTAAAATAATTTGTTTGAATTTTTTCTTAATAAAAAATAAAGACTTAAAATGACTGAAAACGGTAAAAAACAGGAGAAAAATTATCCGAAAAATAAAATGAACACATTAAAATAATCTACATGTCACAAAGATTAAATAAAAAATATTCAAAAAGTCGAAATCAAAATAAAATGATAATAAAAATATCGGGCTAAAACAGTTGTTTACGGTTAAAAACGAGACTTTAAATTGTATCGAAAAAATAAAGCGAGCATACCGTCATAATCTACGCGAAACGCAGATTCATAAAATGATCGGTAAAAGGTGAAAACTTGAAATATTTTCTCGCTAATTTTTTCGCACATTGTTGAATCGCTTTTAACAGTTTGTCTATAAAACCGAAATATTTCATTATCGACATATAAACAACTTGGAGAAACGAGTAAAGAGATAAAAATGCATGAAGTGAAATGTTAGGTGTTTTACAACTGAACGACGATGCAAACTTTGATTTAAACTGACTTTTCCTGGTCAACTTAAATACGACTAATGATGCAAAATGTGATGAATGAAGGTATTTACTAATGATTGTGACCAAATAACAAAATATGATATGAAATGTGCGACTGAAAAAATTAGGGGCGAAATTAAGGGTGCAACGGTGTGCCTTGATGAATCAGTCTTTGAGAATCCACAATCAACCGTACTTCTGGCTTGGTAGACTCAAAACCTTAATTGAGGCGTGACACTTGATGCTCTTGATTCAGACCTGTCTCTGCACATGAAGCAAAAGGTAACATGAACATACACCTTTGTATGGATTAGAAATTAGTGATACATAGGCTAAAAAGGTTCAAAACACTTGACAATCTTCGCATAGTCAAAGCTCGAAGGTGAGACGTTAAAACCGACCGTATTTCGTGACCTTGACTTATCAAAAATAAAAATGGGATCTTAGGTCAAAAATTGGGGTACAACAGTAGCCGGTCTTTTTATAATGTTTAACAGCATGATTGTTTGTATTGACTTGGATTTTTTTTGTATGAATGTGCAGGTCATGAACTGAAGATGAAGAACTTTGGCATGGCATGGAATTAGAAGTTTACTCATGGAATTTTAGCACCTTTAGGACTGAAGAATGTTGTTCAAGTGTATTTTGTAGCAGTTCTTTTTTTGTAGAATATTGGTGTAATGGGATTGTAATGAATGTTTGGTTTGGATGAACTTGAAATTTATAGTGTGAATTGTAAATGACCTTTGAGCTTGAAATGTTGGGTGATGAATTTTAAGGACGGAGTTTAAATGACCAAGTCTTGAAAAATGCTTGAAGGCATGAAAGCATCAAATTTTCTTGTAAGGTATTGTTACACTTGCATGAAATTGAATGGAATTGGATAGTATTTTCTTGAACCATGAATGAGAATGAAATTGAATGGAATTGGATAGTTTTTTCTTGAATAAATGTTTGAACGCATTGTGAACTTGAATCTGAAATAACGGTGAACATCTTTGTAATGCGTATGAACTCTGACTTGAAACAAAACCTTGCAGTCTGTACTTTACCTTCCAAGAAAGCCATATGGCCAATACTTAAGACTCTTTGCTGACTTTAATTCAACCAAACACTTTTGAACATCTTGAACTCAAATCAAACTTCAAATCCAAATCACACTCGCATTCTCAACGAACTCCTAACTTCAATCTTGAACCCAAATCAACTTGAATGACAAATAATTTGAATAGTCAATAAGATCTTGATCCTAAAAAATTCACAACCTTGCCTTTTGTATCATGCCTCATATTCCACGATTCAATCCACAAGTCTCTTATCGATCGGTTATTTCAACCTGAGATTAGTGTCATAAGGAACATCTTACAGATGGATGATAAAGTCTGAATCACAGAAGAATTCCCTTGATGTGAAACCCTCACAATCTTGATTCCTCGTTCAGACGCACAAAGAAATATCCGGATAAAACATCTTTGAACCATGATTCAACAAAACCTAATTTGATTAACTGAGGAGTAGACGATTGTCATGTCACAGTCATTAATCCTAATCAAATGACAAGCATACTTATAGGGAAGGACGTCATGATTCGAAGCCCACATATGCTAGGTCACGTCCTAGAGTTCTTGACCAGAATGACCTACAATCGGTTGTTCATCAGAAGATAATAGCCTTGCTGCTTGAGGGAGAAGAAGTCCTTTATTAGATATGAGCGCCTTAACCACTATGAAACCCTAGTATCGCACAACCACTGAACTTTGAACCTCAGAGCTATATTGAATGAAATGTATGCCATGTTAGTGACCTAATGAAAAAGATGCAGATGAATGCAAAAGTCTAAGCCAAAATAAAAGGAAATTAGGAGGGAAAATTTTGGGGTGCAACAAGAGGCATCGTCACCGCCATCGCAGTTCACTTGAACTGGGGGGAAAGGATCCAACTCCTACCTCCGCTGCCAACAGTTTTTATGGACATTGATAACTGTAGAGCTGGCCGCCTGATTAAAGTACGAGAAGCTGGAGGATACTATCTCATGGTTAATAATGCAAGAGTTCGTAGTGTGATCATTCCAAATCATAATCGCACTTACTTGGGTAATCCGGATAACTGGCTTTACAACCTGAACGCCCCAGAACCCGGAGAAAATATGCAAGGAAATCAAGGTGAGGCCAACAACGCTGCCTCTGACGAAATCGAAGAAGAATTAGAGCAGCAAGAGCCCCAACCACAACAAGCCAACAATCCCGCCACCATCGACGCAATCTATGCCGCAATAATGCAGCAAAACCAGCTATCCACTCAACGCTACCAGAGCCTCGAGATGCGCCAGATCGAGATGATGACTCTCATGTAAAAAATGCAGAGAGACCAAAACGACTACACTCGCAGGCATGATCAAAGTATGCTGGAATTCACCGCAGGAATGACGGAAGATATGCGAGCCTTAACACTTCGTGTTGACGACTTGCATAACATCATATCTCAGAGAGATGGAGGCGAATCTTCCAAACAAGGTGAGCAAGCACGTCGAAGAGCGAGGACACGTGGCCGATTCCGAAGACAAGAGGAGGAAGAATGATTGTCCAGTTTCCATTTCCCCTTTCCATATTTTGTCAATACATTGAGGATAATGTATGATTCAAGTATGGGGGAGGAAGTATTTCCCTTTCCTAGTAATTTTTATTTTTCTTTGTAATTTCCCTTCCGTTATCTTTAATTCAATAACTTTTTTTTATCAAGTTATCTATTGAAGCAATTTGTATTGTTCTTTTAGACTCCCCTTTCTTTTTGAGCCCTATAAAAATTTTTTGTTTGACTCACTCGACAAGTACATAGACTGCAAGATCTTTAATTGTCAGGAATTGTGGCAAGATTAAGCGAAATTTCTACCGTCTAGACATTCTACAACCCCAGAGTATGATAGATCAGTTCAAGTACCTGTTATTCCAACACCCTGAGTTTAGTCTATGTAGTAACCCTGAGTAGTTTATATTAGCAGTCAGCACCGTCTTAAACACAAACTACACAGGAAGTCGATGAATATAAGTGGATGATATAATATTTCAGCAAAATGTTGCAAGGAAACACACCAATTAAATTGGACGATCCTTACCCGATCGCCTAATCCAAAGGATGTAAACCTTACAAAGTAACATGAAAAATCATTTGGTAGATGGTTCAGGAGCATCTGGTACTGAACTCGGTAGGGCAGATTATGGTCTGATCCCCCGCATCCAACCATTGAATTGGAAAAGGTTGCCACATTACTGTGCCAGAAACCTCTAAAAGTTTATAAGGATCATAAACCACTAACCGACTGTTCTGCTATGTGCATGTAAAGATAAAGGGCTTAATGTGATTGCGCTAGAATGAAAAGGGCAAAACAAGACAAATACTCGAGGTAGGCTATGATAGGACCTGTAACTAGTTTACGTAAAATGGGACTGTCTAGTGTCATTGACATAGTAATAGAGCACGAATCAAACCATCGATTTTCTGACAAAAACACAACGCAGCTACGTATTAGTCGATCCGAGTCATAACCATGTTTAGAAAAACATCGTACTTAGCATTTGCTTGAGGACAAACAAAGTTTAAGTATGGGGGAGTTTGATGACACACAAATATGTGATATTTCTGGCTTGATATACACCAAATATTTCTCATACTTTAGTTTGAATTAAATTATTTTATAAGTATTATGCAGGTATTTTTCTATTTTTGAAGATATGCACTGAGCCGAACACTTTTGAAGAAATGAAGAAAAAAGGGTGCAAAAAAGTAGTAAAAGAGCCTAAGGAGAAGAAATAGCCCAAAAGCCCATTACAAGTGTGAGCACGTGGCCCACAAGCAATCAAGCCCTGACGACCGTCAAGGGGACGTGACAAACGTCACGCTCCATGAAGACCAAGTGATGACAGTCACTTGCGTGTGACGAACGTCACAGCCTATCACCCCACTTTCTCCTCATCCAACAGACAGAAACAC